TAAATTCTCAATAAATGACAACGGTTTCATTCCTTAATCTCAAGTAGGAGCGGAGGAATGAATTTTCGAACGCGCGGAGAAATCCCGAATGGTTCTCCGGCGTCGAGTGAGTCCGGAGGGGCTCCCCTGATTGGAAGATTCATTTCGCCCCCCCCCCCCCCTAATTGTGAAGAAGGAATGAAAGCAACAGCTATCGATCGAGAATTATATTCACAATAAATGACAGCGGTATCATTCCCTAATCTCTATTAGGAGAGGAGGAATGAATTTTCAAAGCGCACAGTAACTCCGGACAAGTTCTTGTCATTCAAAAATTAATTTTTCCCCTCCCTAATTGAGATGAAGCAATGAAACCAAAGCCTACCGATCGAGAATTGTATTTTTAATAAATGACATTTTGAAAATTGATTCCTGATCTCCTAATACAGATTAAGGAATGAAACCGCTGTCATTCATTGAGAATATAATTCTCCATCGATAGATATTGCTTTTATTCCTTCATCGCAATTAGAGGAGGAGAAATGAATTTTCCAATCGGGGGAGCCCTTCCGGAGAGCCGCTCGGGGTTACTCCGCGCTTTTGAAAATTCATTCCTCCGCTCCTACTTGAGATTAAGGAATGAAACCACTGGCATTTATTGAAAATATAATTCTCGATCGATCAGCATCGATTTTATTCCTTCATCTCAATTAGAGGGGGGAGAAATCGATTTTTTAATGGAGCGAACTTGTCCGCAGTCACTCCGTGCTTCGAAAATGTATTTCTCCTGTCCTAATTGAGGTTTAGAAATGGATCCGCTGTCAATTCATTAAGAATTCAATTCTCAATCGATTGGCGTTCGTTCCATCTCTCCATCTCAATTAGGGGAGGAAAAATTGATTTTCATATTGAGGGCATAATTCCAGGGTCAGTTGGCGTTTAAAACCGGAAGGTTTCCCTCAACGTCGTTGGGATACTCATCACGGCTTGTTCAGCCCTGCGATTCCCACATAGGCGCTTTCCCCCACTCTACGCCGTTATCGACACGCCACCGCTACGAAATTTTGCGGTTGAAGCTTCTCGATAAGCGCTGGCAATCTCCCCTATAATCTCTGGTTCTATGTGTTATTTATGTCTAAAATAGTATATATCGTCATCAAGCCGAAAAAGACTTTTCTGGCGAATGTGAGTTTGCAACCCTAGCTGAAGGCGAAAGCTG